ATAATGCTCTCTCACTTACAGAAGCTGTTCGTGGTGCCAGCTTACACGCCAGAACAAAGGGAGATCCCTTTCGCTCGTGTCAACCACAACAAGTATATGGTCACGGACCGTGTCGCCTACATTGGTGAGTGTACCACAACAAATATATGGTCACGGACCGTGTCGCCTACATTGGTGAGTGTACTACAACAAGTATATGGTCACGGACCGTGTCGCCTACATTGGTGAGTGTACTACAACTAATATATGGTCACGGACCGTGTTGCCTACATTGGTGAGTGTACTACAACAAGTAGGTATATGGTCACGGACCGAGTGGTCTACACTGGTGTGATATTTTCCCTTTGAAACTTTGAAGTTAGCTTGCTAACTTTTAATTCTAAATTTTCTTGCTTTACATTTATACTAAACCATGAATAACAATACCTCAATATAAATTAAAGACTGCCACTCAATATATTTAAATATATGAAAAAAATAAAAAAAAAATAAAAAAAAATTGATTTTTTTTATAAAAAAATCAAGTGATTTAATCACGTGATTTAATCATTTTGATTTAATCATTGCCAACCCTGCACCTAAAAAAGACAAAAAAGCTGAAAAAATCAAATAAATAAAAAAAATCATGAAAAAATAAAAAAAAATCATTGATTTTTGATTTTTTTATTTTTTTAAAAAAATTGAAAAAATCGCCAACCCTGCATAGAATGCTATATATAGAATTGTGCACCTGGCATTGTTATTGTGTGAGTCTCAGCGCACCGCAAGTTGCAATTTATCCCCTCTTATAACAGGAAGGGCCACGACAACAAGAATGAATAAATATTTGTGGAAGCCCTAATTCTTGTCTAAATTTAAGGTTTGAAAGCTTTAAGGTTTTAAATTTTATTAGGAACAATATCAGATGAACAAATTAAGGTCTGGGTAGGCAAAAATAAAATCCAAAAATCACTAATAAGGGAAGAGCACAGGCTGGGTTAATGTGAACTTGACATTACCAAGCCAGCTGTAAAAATAAATGAAATTAATAAAATACCAAAGGATGTTTAACTTGAGAAGCTGTGATTGAAATGATTAATTAGTAATCAAGCATTGCAGGGTAAAGTAAGGGCAAGGGACTTATCAGTTAACCTTAACAAAGCAAGCAAGGGATATAGTTATAATTTAATGGAATCGAAACAAGTTAAGTAACCAAAGAACCAAAAGGGTTTGCAAGGTGAGCACAGTTAAAGAATGCAATAACAGACTAAGGGATCATGAGAAAATAAAGTAGGGATCATGAGAAAATGCAGTAGTATTGAATGCAATGAATAAAAGAATCATAATAAATCAAGAACCAATGCATTATTTACAGAAAACACAAGTAAATTAAAATGCAGACAAAACATATATATACAAGGGTGAACATTCACTAACCAGCATGGCTAAGCACGAGTGGTCAGGACTGTCAGACCGCTCTGTTACACAGCTGAGTGTCATTCATTGGNCTTCAGAGTACTGTTAGTAATAGACGAGTACACTCTGCATGCTTCAAATGTTTAAAATTGAGTTTTATTTCAAGTGTCCCTTTTTACCCCATTTCCAGATTAATTCAGGAGCCTTTTATATTGCATCTAGCGCCTTACAAATAGCATATGGAATTTTTTTGGAGATGCCATACAATAGCCCTTGCAAACACCTTTAAAATGAGCCCAAACCTGTTTATGAAATGTTTCCTGGTAAGAAGTTATTAACAATAACCGCTCAAAACCGTCCCTTTTTACCCCGCATGACGGTACTTTGTAGTTTTTCAATGCTAAGGGCATTTAAATCTATGAGGAAACATGAATTTTCAATTTTTGGAGGGCATCTAATGACTCAGAACCTGACTTCAATACCTACTTTTATTTTGAAAACAAAAATCAAATTTCTTGTTGGATAAGCTGTTGTTGTTGTTGTTGTTGTCAGATGCTGTCTTATATTGACTTAGTAAGCACTTGTGTCTTGTGAAGGGTGGTGATAGTGTGCTGTGGAAAAATCTGTTGATGGCTCTGAAATCTCAAAATATTATGGTCTTTTATTTTAACTACTATAGAATTGCACCATGATATGATATTTATTTGCAGTGGAATTACACCTATATGATGACCTATGGGATGAATTGAAATTCAGATGCTTCATCTACTGATCTACATCAGACCTTCAATAATCAAAAAATAGTATTAGTACTATCAGTTCCTTTTTAATGTATTCCCTCTCAAATTTAGGATAAGAAGTGTATAAAACAGAACCTTATTTATTAAAATCAACCAAAGCCATCTCACCACAAAAATGGTTGATGAATTGTCCAAAACATCTCTACATGCCAAATTCGAAAAGAAGTAAGTGTGCCATCCCATACTGCCATTTCTGTATTTGTCTTTATCATAGTGATATCACAGATGTCTGTATAACTGAAGCTTCACTAGATTAATGGCTATTCTCTCATCTTGTGTTTTTGCTTGAAAAATGCAGTTAGATTAACAATATTGCTATAATTTTTTCCTAAATAATTTATCTTGCAAATAATTCCCTGGGTTCAAGTTTTTTCTATATTTTATGGTAACTGTATTGAAAGTTAAGTCTTTCCAGCATGAATTTTTTTTTTTTTCAGTGGAAGTAATTGAACATTTCTCATGGAAGTACCTATCTATTTCAGAACCATGTCATCAAGCTGCAATAAATTCCTGAATGTGTCCAACTTTGTGGTTTCCATATCGGCCATCACAACTCTACTCATCTTGTTCTTGATCTTGTCCTTCAATTGTGCAAGAAAAGAAGTGCAGTGTTCTTCATCATGCTAGTGAGTAGACATTTGATCTTGTATTTCAATTGTGCAAGGGAAGAAGTGCAGTGTTCTTCTTCATGCTAGTGAGTAGACATTTGATCTTGTCGTTCAATTGTGCAAGAAAAGAAGTGCAGTGTTTTTCATCATGCTAGTGAGTTGTTTGGGGTTCTGTATTGCAAGTGATTGCTCCCCATATAGGTAACTTACCAGGCATTGACTCAGTGGCCTGTGCTTGCTTAGGATATTTTCACTTATATGTTCCCAGTCTAGACTTGACTTCAGATTGTGTTTCAGAAGTGTGTGCATTTAGATGAGTGGTTTTTAATTAAGGGACAAATTTGATGTGAAATATTGATGGCTTTTTAATTTTGAGATACAAGTTCACTTATCCACTGAATATCAATAATACAATTTTAGAGCAGATGTGTCTGGTTATTTGCTAAATACTACGCTAACCTAAATAAATTAGGATTAATTTTTCAGATGTAATGCCTGGTGTTTTGAGTTTACAAAACAATCAAATGAAATATTAATGAGCTGTTTATCTGCTCCTAATTCAATGCCTGATATTGGGTGAAAGCAAAAAAGTATTACCTATGTAATGTTATTTGAATTGTTAAGACTGCCCCAAAAAACTTCTCCATACTGTATGTATATATCTTTCAAGGCCATCTTTGTAGTTTTTTGTAGTGTCAAGAATTTTTTTTTGCAGAATTTTTAGTTTCCTTACAAGGAAATTTCTAGTGTTACTCTGAAATTCAACTTTAATCCATCCCAAAAGGAGCATTGCTTTCTGAAATGGCTGACCAGTTCTTAAATTAAATTTTCTTAGTAGAAATAACCGACAGCCAATTAGTGTTTTGGAATTTTTACTTTCTTTGAAATCATCTCTCATCCTATATACAGTTTTTTTTTTTTTTTTTTTTGCAGAATTTTTAGTTTCCTTACAAGGAAATTTCTAGTGTTACTCTGAAATTCAACTTTAATCCATCCCAAAAGGAGCATTGCTTTCTGAAATGGCTGACCAGTTCTTAAATTAAATTTTCTTAGTAGAAATAACCGACAGCCAATTAGTGTTTTGGAATTTTTACTTTCTTTGAAATCATCTCTCATCCTATATACAGCAATCCCTTGATTAACGCGGTTAATAAATCCCCGAGTTTTACCGTGTTGAACAAAACCGCGCCAATCAAACTTGGGAATATATGGGAATAATTATAATGAATCCTAAAAAATAGCAAAGTTACATAATATTTTTTTCCACTAAAATTCATCATATTTTGCTTAGTTCAATTCATCATTCAAGCTTAGTCTCCAAAGTGATATTTTTACGTTTAAGCGTTCCCTTTTTGTCCATAATTATGACGGTAATTTATCAAGGAAAATTAGTTTGATAAAAGTGAGCAGTAGATATGGCAGCGATCTTGACCAGTTGAAGGCTAATGAGTAACTAGACCACCGGCATGGCGCACTTACCGGCGAACGTTGCCGAACTCGACCATTCGAGTTATGAACGAGACAAGGCGCGGTTAAACCGACTCTGTAGTCAGCACGAGTGCCTACAGAATGGGATCTTATTTAAAGAATTATTGGCTGAAATTCATAAAGTAACCACATTTGGCAAATTTTTCCAAAAGTCGTAACAAAAGTAACAACATAAGATCTAATAAGCAAAAAGTAACACTTTTGTTATGAACGTAACACCTCTGGCTAGAGGCGGGAAAATGATGCGTTGTAAAAAAAAGTCGCGCTAATCAAAACTGGCACCGCGTAGATTAAGGGTAGGTCGCAAATTTTTTTTCCACGTTAATCAAAACCGCGGTATTCAAAACCGTGCTAATCAATGGATTGCTGTATTGCTTAAAAACAAAGAAAACATTTATAATAACACCAAGTGCCAAAAAAGAACACCACATCAGAAGAAGCTCATCTGCAATTCCTACAATTGCACATTGCAGCAGACTAAGGCCAACTACTGGCCAAAGAGCAACACTGAGTGCTGCTTGTCTGTAAATTTTTTATGCCTGACATTGACTTGCAAATTTCTTTAAACTTCCAAGTCTCATGTTTCCAAAATTCTGTGTCTACTTCCAGTTGACAGAATTTAACTCGGTCAACTTCTGGGGTTAAGTGTAATTCATTTTAATGAGGATAATAATTCTGATGAAATGATTCATTTCTTAACTTCCAAGTCTCATGTTTCCGAAATTCTGTGTCTACTTCCAGTTGACAGAATTTAACTTGGTCAACTTCTGGGGTTAAGTGTAATTCATTTTAATGAGGATAATAATTCTGATGAAATGATTCATTTCTTACCCTATTGCAAACAGATTTTTACTTTGTTTTTGGATCCAACTGAGATGTTCATCTGTACGTGGAAGTGTAGAAGTTTTGGAAGTCTCCATTGTTTTTAATGTCAGTCAGGAGCCATGAAAAATTTTTGGTGCATTTTTAATCTTCAAGCTATTATAGATATAATTTAAGATTCCATCTGTTATTAAACTACAACAAGTTGAACTGGGCATCTATAAACATTTCTGAAATTACTCATACTCTTACTGTCAATTCATGTATGGCAATAAATTACTTCTATTCAATGTGTGTTAGCAATTTGAAACCCCTTTTTTTTACTTGAAACTACCATGTATCATATGTTCAACTTGGCCTCTTGATTTAAAATATTTTTTAATACTTTAAACTCCTGAGTTATTCACAAGTTGACTTAAAATATCTTGCTTGTTCAGTTGTATAGAACTTGATTGCTCCAAATGAAATGTTGTTCTCTCACTTCAGATTCAGGTGCATCAAATAGGATTCGAGAACCTCAACTTACTTTATTAAAGTCATCAACAAGGTGTTCGATGCAATATTTTTCATTGATAATTCGGCCTAGGATTGATGTAAGTAAAGTTTCAATTTTTACTCTAAATTTACTTTAAATTAATTTAATTTACTTTAAATTTCACTTTTAATTTTTTCAGCTATCAACTGGTTGAGAGTGTGCCGCAAAACCTAACATTTGCCCAAGGAAGTCCTTCACACATGAGCACTACTGAAGCATGGCTCTCGCTTTTGAATGGGGCTGAGAGTCGCGTTGATATGGCAGTGTTCTATTGGTCTCTCACTTCTGAAGATGTCAAACCTGGTTCCATGTTCCCTTCTGCGGTACCTGGTCAAGATTTGCTTGGGAGAATGATGAGTGTTGGTTAGTTTCTTTGCAATTCAAAATTCATTTCATCTGCTTGCCTGCTGAACATTTACTAGGGAAATTGTTATGCTTTAAATTTAAATTGTTGGCAAACTTCAAAATGAATCCCTGCTCTGTCGTCCCTGCCAAGCTTGCTTCTCTTCTTCAGCTAGACTTTTATTGTGAGCTACAATTCGAATGCTGAAGTTTACTTCATTTAATTATGAATAGCAAAAAAGTTGGGTTTATCTATCAAAGCTAAATCAGTAGAATTTCAATGAGATATTTAAGTGGTCTGTACCCAGCCTAGTTGTTGTCTCATGTCTATTAATTTTCATGACAGGGCTCAAAGATAACATTACCATGCGCATCGCCCAGAATGCCCCTACGCCAAACTCGCCTCAGAATAACAGTGAAGAGCTCAGGAAAGCAGGAGCTGCTGAGGTTAGCTTGATGAGTAGAAAATTGCTGCATGTAGCTTATTTTCTCAAGAAATTATTACTACAAGTTTTTTATATTTGTTTGAATATTCCAATTTCTTTATGTTTTAACTATATTCTAGAGCTATTCTCAACATATTGTTTAATATTTAGGTTCATTCCGTAATTACTTGCATTTTAGGCGGACAGGGTGAGAAGCTCTGATCACCAAATAGAGATTTGTGCTATGGTAACAAATGCAGAAAAAGAAATCTGACCTAAGTTTGCTATCGTGCGTTGTGCTCTAACTTGGTTTTCACTCAGTGGCTAAGTTCTAAATGTCATGAAACTGTTTTTTGTTAAATGATATTCCTGACGTTGCAAGTAATTGTAATATGTTTTCAAGGTACTGAACGTTGACATGCAGCACTTGGTGGGCGGTGTTCTGCACACCAAGATGTGGATCATTGATGATGACAAGTTCTACCTCGGCAGTGCTAACATGGACTTCAGGTCTCTCACACAGGTCCTTGATAATTATATTCTTGTTAAACTTTAAATTACTTTCACTTCAAATGACTTATGATGGCTGAAAGGATAATAAATTAGGTAAGCTCTGATCAAAGGTGCTTTTTTATTTAATTGCTATATTGCTTTTGAGAAGTTAGATCTTTTAGGCCCTATGGATATTTGATGCATTCATGGTAGATTTGTTCCAGATAAACTTCCACTAGTACTACCTACTAATTGTACAGTCTTTTCTTCATAAAATTGAAGGAATTCTCAATTCAGATGTGTTAGAGGTTTTTTTTTGTTTTGTTTTTTATTATTTAGGTGAAGGAGCTCGGTGTGGTGCTGTGGAATTGCTCTTGTTTGGCTCGCGACATGAGAAAAATCTTTGAGGTTCGTCTGCCATCAGTATGTTATTTTTGTCAGATGTCGATTAATTTTTCAGGTTTTCTTTAATCATAACTGCTCCTTTAATCTTAAGTGCTCTGTACTGAAATATTCTGAAGATAGCAATCATTAAATTTATGTTGCAGATGATTTTGATCTACTTCGATTAATATCAAAGTGATGCGCCGCGAAAATAATGATGCAATTCATTTCTGATCATCAATTTTCTTGCGTTAGTTGATATAATCAATAAATATGTTACTGAAACCATATTTGAAACTCAAAACATTGAATATTGCCGTCCAGCTCGAGATTTAACGCATCACGCTCACTCACACCACTCAAATTGGAATGAACCCTTTTCTCATCTTGTTCCGTCAACCCTGCAGTTGTGCTCTTCATTACATATTGTAGCCGTTTGCCTATCCCTACACGCCGGTGCGATGAACTCGTCATCAAGTTGTACTGTACTTGTCTATTGAAACTAGGTACTTGATTTAATGGAGAATTGAAGTTAGGATTTTCTGATTTTTCCTGAAAATTTTTAAAACAAAATTACATAGGTAATCACAAGGATTGTGAAGCAAAATTGAATAATAATAATTTATGAATAATTAGTTAATTGAGATTTTTGAGGAACATGGACAGGTGATGATTGCCGTTATATTGGAGCAGATTTACCTATAGTTCATTGCTCATTTACTGGCATTTGGCTTCCCTTCACAATAATTCCAAAAAAATTTTATTCTGTGAAACAGTAAAATAATAATAATAATAAAACGTATTAACTCTCAGAAAGCTAAAATTAATGCTCTATCTACCATCTCAATAATTATAAAAATGAGTAAAATGTGAATGAAGAACATGTCTACAGGAAGATGATGCCATAAAGTATTGTTTCCAACCCCCCGGTAACAATATGTAATGTTCCGTCAACCCTGCAGTTGTGCTGTTCATTACATATTGTAGCCGTTTGCCTATCCCTACACGCCGGTGCGATGAACTCGTCATCAAGTTGTACGGTACTTGTCTATTGCAACTAGGTACTTGATTTAATGAAGAATTAAAGTTGGGGTTTTCTGATTTTTACTGAAAAATTGTAAAGCAAAGAGTTACATAGTTAATCACAAGGATTGTGAAGCAAATTGAATAATAATAATTGATGAATAATTAGTAAATTGAGATTTTTGAGGAACATGGACATGTGATTATTGCCGTTATATTGGAGCAGATTTACCCAGTTCATTGCTCATTTACTGGCATTTGGCTGCCATTTACAATAATTCCAAAAAATTTGTATACCATTCTGTAAAACAGTAAAATAAGGATGAAAAAACGTATTAACTCACACAAAGTTAAATTAATGCTCACTCTGCCATCTCAATAATTATAAAAATGAGTAAAATGTGAATAAAAAAACATGTCTACAGGAAGGTTGTGCCATAAAATATTGTTTCCAACCCCCCCGTTAACAATATGTAATCTACTATCTACGCCTACGAAACTGGACCGTAACGAAACTGACCAAATATTCGACAATCTGGTTGGCTTTGCACTCGACTGCCGTAGGCTGTAGGGTTAAACTTCTGAAACACTTGCCACTCAATTTTATTATGCAGCTTGGTAAATTTTTATATAGAATTTGATTATGCAAATTAAGCAATAATATAAAACCAAAGAAAATTCCTTACAAATTTACCATATTTTAATTTCAAACGTTATGAACAAAGCACCATCATCAATACAGAACTCAATATTAAAATTCTAATCAAATGTGTGACTTAATTTTGTCATATTTTCTATGTTTTTAAAGTCTTCTAAATGTTTATGCTACCCNCTGAAGGCTAACTCAGCATCTGTGATGATAACTTTCATTCATGGAATTAATTTTCTACTTATTGTGATGTTCACTTTATAGTTATTTATAACTCATTTACTTTTGCTTTAGATTGATTTATAACTCAAATTTGTGTTCAGTGATTCCGATATGTTGGCTGTTATGCCATGAGTTATAGAAATAATATTGGACATATTTTAATCAGCAAGTCCTGGATTTGTGTGCAGCAATACCGCTACGTAGGGGCGCGTCGCAGCATTCCTGCCGTCTGGCCAGCCAACTTCAGTACGGACATCAACCGTCATAGCCCTCTCACCATCTCCCTCAACGGCAGCGCGGCCACGGCCTTCATCTCGGTTGTGCTCTTGTTTTTTCCCTTCAACCCTATTACGAATGTCCTTTCTCCTTTCCTTTCTTGTATTGAATGTCCTTTCTTGCCTTTTCCCGTTCTCTTCTGAGAAGTTGACGTTTTCTCTAGTTCTTTTTTTAAAGCGTGGGTCTCTTAAATTTTTTATTTCAACTTGAAAGGTTCACGCAATCTTGGTTCTTCTTTGGAAAATAAACTCACCTTTTTAGTTCCGACTGGAACGATTTATTCTTTTGTTAGATTCAGTACGTCATGTAACGATTGTCCGTTTGAATTGAAATGTTTAATTTTATTCATTTCTTCATATAGGATTTGGCTGTTTGAATTAGGACGAAGGAAACTCTTTACCTTCTCGGAAACTGTGCTCTTAATTCTGTTGTTTACTTTGACATGTTATATTCGTTTTTTTGCCCACCAAACAAGCTTAATAATGATAAATTCTAGATTTATTTGTATTGACCAAAAGTTTCTTAATCAAGTAGCCTTTCTCGATAATGATTGCTGCTAATTTTTCATGAAATATTCTATATCAGTTCGGGCTTTGCTTTACCTATCAATATATCAGCTCATTTTATGTTATTTCATTATTTTTTATATTCAAATTCTATGCCATATACAAGCTTCTAAACAACTTGAATATTTTTCTAGTGCTTATAATAAATAGCTCCATCATTTGGGGGCATTATTTATGCGTTCTAATGTATTATTTGTACATATTTGTGCAGAGCTCTCCTCCTGCGTTCACGTCCCTGGGCCGAGAGAACGACGTGGACGCCATCGTCGCCGCCATTGACGACGCTCGACGCTTCGTCGACGTCGCCGTCATGGACTACTTACCCCGCACCCTCTACAGCAGACACGTCCAGTGAGTGCCTTCGTCTGTACGTCAGACACGTCCAGTGAGTGCCTTCGTCTGTACGTCAGACACGTCCAGTGAGTGCCTTCGTCTGTACGTCAGACACGTCCAGTAAGTGCCTTCGTCTCGCTCGTCAGATGGCAGCCCTGTTGAGCATGTGTGTACAACACTTAGATCAATTACGTCGCTCCAGCCCGAATATCTTGTCCCTCTCGTGTGTCGGGACACGCTATGTCTTCACTCCGGAGTTTAACTTCTAGATTTTGTCCGCAATTTCCAAATCGAACTATTTTTAGTAAGTTATATCTGATGACTTTGTTCCATACCTGCATCCCATTTCTAAATATTATGTTGTTTTACGTGTGCTTAATCCTGTTTTTACGTGTAACGGACACAGATTTTGGCCTGTGATCGACAATGCGCTGCGCAAAGCTGCACTGGAGCGACGTGTGCGCGTGCGCGTGTTGGCGTCGCTGTGGCAGCACTCAAGGGACGACTTGGCTCACTGGCTGTTGTCGCTCTCCGCCATCACGTCGTCCTATCCTCAAATTGACGTACAAGTTGTGAGTGCTAAACATACGCATCACATCAATTCTTCCTATTAAAATATGAAGGCGCTGTCATTCTTACGGTAAAATAAAAAACTTACTTGTTCTTATTTGTTTTGTTGCATTGGTATCGTATCTTATTTTTCTGCCAATTAGCACCCAAAAATTTAAGTTAAGATGTGTAATAATCAGGAAATTCTCTGCCTTTCCGCCCTACTGAGTTTCATGCGGGTAGCAAACAGTTTCTAAAATCTGTTATTGTATGTTTGCCTAACTCCCGTTCCAGGTTTTTATCACCTTTCATCGTTTGATTTGGTGTTTATTTTTATCAGTGTTGTGTCGTCGTGTCATAAAGCGATAATGCTCTCTCACTTACAGAAGCTGTTCGTGGTGCCAGCTTACACGCCAGAACAAAGGGAGATCCCTTTCGCTCGTGTCAACCACAACAAGTACATGGTCACGGACCGTGTCGCCTACATTGGTGAGTGTACTACAACAAATATATGTATGGTCACGGACCGAGTGGTCTACACTGGTGTGATATTTTCCCTTTGAAACTTTGAAGTTAGCTTGCTAACTTTTAATTCTAAATTTTCTTGCTGTAAATTGAACATTTTAGCCGCTCTAATGCAATGGTTGGTTCACTGTTGATGCTATAATGTGTTTGGTGGCAGGAACATCGAACTGGAGCGCAGACTACTTCACTAACACGGCTGGCGTGGGCCTCACAGTGAACGACACAGTGAGCACCAGCGCCGGCGACACACTCAGGACGCAGCTGCACGCTGTCTTCAACAGGGACTGGAACTCTGAGTACGCCAAGCCCGTGCAGGATATCCTTCCTACTGAACCTAATAAGGAGCTAGTTAGCGACTAGCATTTGGATGTAGTAGTGGATTACGACTAGTTTATTAATCTAACATGACTCAGTGTAGCGTAGTGGATGACAGACGCTCTTCATTAGATGCTGATATTTAAAGTAATCAGTTTCCGCCAAAGTGTTGGTCTGTTGTGTGAGCTGATAGCGATCTCTTGTGATTACGCCAGATATTCAGTTCTTGCACATGACCGTGTCGAGTACATCCCCCTTGAGCGCTCAATATTTACACACAATTTTCATGCCACTTTTTAACTTTATTTTTTGATGCTATTTTCATGATAATTCGAAGCGTTCCAATTGCTATTCCATTTCTAAATATTTCATTTTGTGCTAAACGCAAAGTTTACAAATGGACGTTGACGTTTGTTCTTATCTCTCCCGCATGTCTAGCGCCTGTGTTAAAGACAGCATGCACTCTCACTGGATATAACCGGCATTGCTCAAATATTGCTGCTGTTGTAAAAAAATAGATAAGATAAGGATATGTATGTATGTAACATTAAGATGAGTATATGTACTGAGTGATGATGCATACTTCTAATGAACGTGGCAAAGTTTGTCATATCATCGTAGTTAAGAAGAAAATTGTTCCTTGTGTACGGATTTACTGCGTTAGGACAGTCATGGATGCAGCGATCATTAGCTTTTGTTTTGCTAGCGCCATATTTTGCGGTTCCTTGACGGAGCTTAATTGCCTCATTTTTGGCTGGTCCATCCTGTTATGCTTTATTAAACAATAATTCAATCAACTTTAGTCATGTAGCTTTCTTTTATTCGCATAATTTTCCTTTAATTTACGTATCCGAACAATGTAATTTTTTTACTTAGGATGTACGCCGTGTCATGGCTCTATGTATGTTTCTACATATTTCATGTTAACCCTCTACCGCCGTATGTCACTTTCCGGTAACATTAACTTTCGACTTGCATTATTCGAAAGCTATTGAGTGTAGCAACCTGAGGACGTTTGTACGCAACAGAGAACATTTTAAAGTTGTCGTACGTGGCGGTAAATTATACGTAAACTATTGAGTGTAGCAACCTGAGGACGTTTGTACGCAACAGAGAACATTTTAAAGTTGTCGTACGTGGCGGCAACCATCAGTGCAAGTCAATTTGCACTCACTAGCAACGCATCCTTTTTCGGTATGCTTTTGTTACAATATTGCCCCGGTTACTCATGTCAGGCGTAGAGGGTTAAATGTTTTTGAATTTCCTCATTTTGTGTAATACCAAGCATCGTAAAGAAAAGCCCGTGTAATATTACGAGCTGTCCGTCACCTGCTCATAATCATCAATATATAACAAAGCTGCTCGTATTTACGCCGAAAACCTGGACTGAGAGATAGATTTACGTTCAGATTCGAGGTAGAGCAGATAGTGCGAGGTACTGAAGGTTCGAGGTAGAGCAGATAGTGCGAGGTACTGAAGCGATTTGCTCTTGTCCGTCAATCTCTTGCGTCGCGAGTAGTATTTCTTTGTGGCAGCTTGCTAGTTTTCTTTGTACGGATTGAAGGTGAAGAGTCTCCATACTAGTGAACTCGTCTCATAAACTCGAGATGTCTGAATCTCTTTTATTTTACGATTTGTATTTCAATAAAAACCAGGTTTGATTTAAGCATTGTGAAATATTACCCTACAGTAGAAAAATTAGTAAACTTACGTAATTTACATTGACATAAGAAGAGAATTCAATATATTTATATTGAAGTAGGCGGAAATGGGAAATGTTCTAACCCTAACATCGTAGACGAAAATCGAACTAAAATAATTCAAGTGAAAATATTTACAGACGTAGTCTTGTATGTGGCACATTTGATATTAATAGTTGGTCAGCAGGACTGTGGCTCATTGTATGTATAATATGGCAGTAAATATGCAAATTACTTATAGTTGAATTATTTTTGTATTCATGTAATTTTTATACTAATAAACGGTCGCTTGACTCGCTTCAGATCTCATTCTGGCGTTTGTTTTGTATGGCCTTGAAACCTTGTTGATCTTGCGTATTATGAAGAGCGTCACGCACGACTGGTGCGTGTCACGCTGCTGCTGGCACGTCATGCCTTAATATGATGCTGCTTCTCCCGTAAAATATCCATCGTTTTCTCGCGCAAGATTCGTGCCCGTGATTGTTTGCCGTGATGAATTCACCCTTGAATTTTTTACGTGTGGTGCAACAGCTGCAGTAATAGCTCATAACACTAGATAGTGGAAGGTTCTCTCGTCTCTTATCAAAACTCGAGGCTTCTGATAAAATTTCCGCTGCCCCCCGCGTCGCAGAAATCTTGTTTTCTTGGTAGGTTATTTCAAACAACTTGGTTTAGGAGCAGCGTGGGAACTGGACGACTATCATTCTGTATCGTTCCGAAGTTACAGGAATCACCTTGTGAGGAACTTTCAAGATAAAATTATCTTCGATGTCGTTAGCCGTTTAAAAAAATGCAGCCTGGCATTGGGTGTCTGTTGAGTTTGCATTTTTAAATTTCGTGGGAGTTTCACATTGTCGGCTGATATTAACACGGAAAATTTACTCTACGCATGAGTAAATGTTGGGGCTGTGTATGTCGTGTAGTCGGTCAGCAGTTCCGTTATCAGGTCGTCTCTTACGATAGCGGCTGCGATAGTGCGATACGCTCCGTACCCAGAATGCGAACCTGACCCAACTGCCACTCAGTTCCAGGTTTGCCGTGAGGAACAAGTTTGCCGCTGGGTAGCCTCGAACTTAAAAGTTTATTTAGGTTGTGAGAAAATTCAATTTAGCCAACATTGCGCTCATCGCCATGGCGAAGATATGGTGTAAGCCTTGAGTGGATGTATCGTGGACACTTTTCTTCTTCAGAAGTTCCTTGTGCGTTTGTTCGATAGTTTTTTATTATCTGAAAAGAAATATTTCGTCTGCTGATTTTCACTGCGTGTTGAAGGGCGCGGCATCGAACAAATATAAACATTAAAGCGATAATTCCCGAGAGAGCTCTTGAGGTTCATTAATAATAATGTTCGTTACCATGTTTCCTAACTATATTAGGAAAAATAATTCATGAAGACATTCCCATCGTTCACTGGGCTGAGGATCCATAGGTCCGCCATTCCATGTTGTGAAGTTGTAACGACGGAAGGTTATTGACTGCAAAGCTATCTAAAACTCCCTGCTACAATCAACAAGGGACGATTCAAAAAAAGAATTATTATATTAATAATAATTACACTTTATCGTTATGTCGATAATTTGAACAAGGAGAAGTTCTGCGGGGTCGATATTCTTATTCAATGAGTACACAAGCATTTCATTCGTAGCGAGAGGCCACTTTATGGCAATTCTTCGATGATTTCCGTTCATGAGACTAATTTTCGCTACGAATTTGCACTAAACGCACACGAACGTATTCGTTGAATGTAGAAGAGTATATGCGGAGTTCAAGTGAAGATTATATCCTTGGTTCTTATGATTTCATAAGATAATAAGAAACAAGGTTCTCATACCTCTCTTGGTTCTCATACCTCTCTTGATTCTCATACCTCTCTTGGTTCTCATACCTCTCTTGGTTCTCATACCTCTCTTGGTTCTCACGCCTGTCTAATGACTCATTAAGGTAATGTTGGCATCGCATGATGTGTCCACGAATGGGGCGTCTGCCCTCTACATTAGACGACGAGCTTTCTGCGTCATTCATTTTAGCTTTTCAGTTTCAACATTTTACTTTTTCCGTAAAGAATATCCAGTTTAAATAAGAATTTCATATTCAACGCTCTCGGTTCGCCTTGGCAATCATCGAATGCAAGTTCCATGGTGATTAGAATTTAAGTTCCAAGTTTGAAGGAGGATAGTTTACCCAACTGTCTTACTCGGCAAAATATATGCACTCAATTCATCCCTATTTGAACCTCCTTCACGGAGCCTTTCCTTGTCGACTGAAAATGACAGATATTATCTAGTCTAGCAGACGATTAATTGAGATTGAACAATGCAAATGCGTTGGTCATTCGGATATATTTTGTGCATGATTCGTTAGTGAACGATTCGATGCGGCCAACACGACCGATAAGGTTGTTATCAACATCCGTGCCAGATAACACGCCTGATAAGCATAACAGACTGAGTCACCAGGCAGAGCACCGATTCGAGTTTTATGATCCTCTCAGAGCTGCGTTATGGTGTGTCTATTTTTATTGAGCACAATTTTATTGCATTTATCCGCCGTAAAATTTATTGTACTTAATGCTAAAATATCAGGGAGTTGTCAAGTGAGGAACTGATTTACGTACATATTCCACTCCCGGGTACCGGAATTATTTCCTCTAAGTTGTTATTTTCCTCTAAGTTGTTACGAGACAAGTTGTTATTTCATGTCTCGTGTCATTGCTAGCCATCGGAACGTGAATTTTTGTCTGGTTTTATAATTTAATAGTTACCTGAAAAATTCAATTACTTATTACCTAAATCAATACCATTAAGCTGCCCCCCTGTGTTATCGACGCATACGTAGGAGGCACCTAATAAAAGTACACAGGCATACTCATGGTTAATACAAAATACCAGAGGTACTATTATAATGTGAAACAAAACCAACTCGTCCATTAGACAACATTTTTTTCGTCTCGCGTCACCGAAATGTAGAACAGACTTTCTGTTGGAGTCTGTTCCACAAAACGAAGTCTGTAGGAACAGATTAGGCATGCAGCAGTTTTTTAGACTAGGTGCACTAATCAAAAGGTTGATCAAAAGATTAGTCGTTGCAGTAATTGGCGACAGGCCAGATTTGTCCTGATTTTCAACGCCACGCTTCTATACTATACTACAATTTTTCTGATTTGGTATGTATCATTTTTTACAGAAAATATTTTTTTGCATAGTGTGTGGAAAACGTAATCGTTTCTTCCCTAACTCTTCAGTTTATTATTTGCCTGGAAGTATTTACAATAGACAACAATGCCTGGCCGTTCCTTAGACTACAGGTACTCAGTACTGAACAATGAGAACGCCAAGTTCCTCACTTACGTCATCATCGTCTTCAATATCGTCTTTGCGGTGAGCTTGCCATAATGTTCACAGAACAATATATTATGCAATAAATTAATCAATATATATTGCATTCCGTACTCTCACACATTACTACTCTACTTTTCTTGCGAATTCGCTTAACGGCGCACAGGTTCGAAGTCTTCATTATTGTAGCACGAGATGGAAAAAAATGTAATGAAAAGGTGGGAAGGCGCACAAAAGGCATAGAAAAATACTTCGCGGAGAATATTTCTGTTCAACTAAGAACTCTTCGCCTATTCCACTGATGTGCATTAACATGCGTAGTTTTCCCTGCCGGCTGCTTCATTTGCTTAACATCACATCTCTATTCATACTACTACAGATCCTGGGATCCGTGATGATTGCTCTGGCGCTCTACATGCTCTTCGAAACAGACTTCAGGAGGTTCATCGTTGACCTGGGTATGGAGAAGGAGTATTGGACGGGCGTTTACATTCTGTTGGCCGCCGGCATCCTAACGATGCTGCAGACTTTCTTCGGGGTCCTAGGGGCCTATCAAAAGAAAAAAACCATGCTGCTCATAGTAAGATATATTCCCAATTAAAGAATTGGTGAAGTTCGGCAGAAGCTTTTCTTTAATGCAAGTTTGATTGAAGACCATAGCATGCTTTTTATTAATAATCTACTTATTCGTTGTAATTAACTTTTTTTTAATTAATTGATAATCTTCTTCTAATGACATTTTAATGGATTGAGACGTTTCAAAAATAATAAAAAATATTCGCTTCGAAAAAATATTTTCGAAACGTTGCAATCCATTGAAAAAAAAAACGAACAAGAAGATTATTAATAAATAGCATGCTCTGGTCTTCAATCAAATTTGCATATTAAGGAATTGTAAACATTCAAATTGATACATTTTGCAGTAGTAATGTATGCAACGACGTTTTCGTCCACGAGAAAATGCGCTCTCTGTCACTCACTGCAGTGAGTACTGGGTTATATTTTTTTATTATGTATCTAATGCAGCTATGAAGCAGCAGGAAATATCTTTGCTTTATTCTTCACATTGACCAGTTTGCCGTGAGCTCGTTCGTGTGCATCGTGCTTGAGATCGCCGGCGCGACGTACATGCTCAAGCATGGCATCAGCTACTCGAGCATCGAAGTGTTCCTCTATGATCGCTTCATGTACTTCATCAGCGTCTACGATACCGACGAGCAGGCCAAACGAACTATGAGCATCATACAAGAATGGGTGAGAGCCTTTAAAATTTATGCAGTAATTATGGAGGATTCAGATTGAATTCGTCCCTGTCTTTACATACAACTTGCAAGCATATAAATTTACTATTAACTCGGATATCGGTCAATTTCGTAGACAAATACCACGGTTTGAAAATGGGTTCAACGCGAAAGTGTCTCTTAGGCTATCGTGAACTGCAATCTTCCCTTACTCAGAGATAACGAACCGATTTTAGTGACTTTAAACACAAATGCAAGTACACCATGTGGAGATTGTAAACTATGAAAGAAAGAAAAAATATTTTACTCATTTTAACACCGCATGCAGCCCATTAAATGGTCTGACAACCTCTAATTTCAAGGTTTATGGTTGCCACGGCTGGTAAATCTTCAAGTCATATAATATAACCCGATTTGGAAGTTGAACCTATAATACCTTATCTCGAAGGCATCATATAGCTAGGCACGATACAACCTGTCAGAATAGAGGTCATAATGCTTATTTTAGATTGAAACGAGCTGAAATTTTGCACTACGATAGCATCTTAATCAAAAATTCTAATCAGTCTGCTTCTCAGGCCAACAGTTAATGTATTCCGCGATAAATTTAATAAGGTATTTTTTGTTCTGAATGCCAGATCGGATCTTCAGCAGAATGAAGCACTAATCAATTTTTGAGCCATTTATTAAGAACCTGCTCGTTTTACCCCGAATAATTAACTTTACATGTCTACTACAATTAGCGTAAACAATATACAAAACACTGAATCGTCATCAACCTATGTTACACAAAATGTTAACAGTACATGCCACTTGCGTCTCCACAATTAGCGTAAACAATATACGGAACATTGAGTCGTCCTGAACCTAGGTGGAATTGAGCAGAAGGGAAATATAATTTATAATAATTTATTTGGTGCGAGAAATAAGTTTGTCTCGTGTTGCAGGTACAAGAAAGGCTACGGCTACGTGGGCTGCGTGCGGGGCTTCACTTTCTACATCGAGGGCATGACGGGCTGGATCAGCGCCGTCGCCCTCATCCTCGCCTTCCAGCAAGTGAGTACTTGTCATGCAATCAATTATTATTATTATTATTATTATTATTAATATTTTTAATAATAAAATTCTAATAAATTGCAAAGTCTTTCATGAAATTGTAAACAGTACTACAACAATCGTTTTTTGTGTACATATTCGACCCTGCGCTAACAGAATTTTTATTCCTTTAATGTATGAAGAGGATCTGATTGTTGAACAAACAAATTATAAGCTATAGACATCATCATTTAAAATTTCATCGAGAATAAATAATACGCTAAATTGCATGAATATTTTCCGAATGTATGACATTTTGCATAAAGAACTTGTCTGGACACCAACGAATATGAACGTGCAGGTTTTCGCGTGCATCGCTGCGGTGATTCTGGCGATGGTGAAGCAGGAGTTCAAGTCGAGCACGCGAGACTTGCGACGCTGATGGAGGCATGCTCGCGGGTGCTGAGTGTTTAATTAATGTATTTCAGTCTGCCTTAGTGAAAAAAATTACCATGGGCGGATGCCATTAATAATTTACCATGAACCATGACCATCATCATTCAAATTATTCATCTCAACGAATTTTTATTTTTCTTAAAAAATGTCATAGATTGTTTAGGGGATTTAAGAAAAAAACAAATATGAATTTTTTAGTTTAAGTTTGATTCTGTACAATAGTGTCAACTAATTATTGAACAAAAATTATTTGTATAAACTATGCAAGCGACATTAAATTATTTTGACCTGTCGTCTTGTTTCTCCGTTCGAAGAAATTATTCACACATTTTGACCAAAAATTTCGGAAACTTATTATAAGAATATGTTAAGTAGTTTAATGCTTATTATAAACGATCGAGGTACAATAATACTATAGCCTTGGCCTCCCCACGAATTAGCTGCGATGGTGCGGGCGTGGCAGAGTAACTATTCTACCCAGCGAGAGTGTAAACTTCGTTAATTATTTCAATAATTATAGGTCTATTATTTCCCAATAAAATCTGTCATTCAATTTACGATAACTCATCGACATGATGTGATGATATGGGTTACATACTAACTTTATTATTGAGATTAAACAATAATTTATTTTGATTTAATTCATTTAATATAAATTCCGAATTTTATACTATTACAGTGAAAAACCATAGATTATTTTTGTGTTGTAAGTTTTTAACAAAGATGACATAAATTAACATATCAAAGCCAACGCCACAATAATTCATTTTTTCATAAAGGTGCCACAATAATTCATTTTTTGGTTCCATGAAAATTTTCTAGTTTCGACGCGCATCTTAAACCTGAATTGTCTCTTCTATTTTCCGGTAAACCTGAACATTAGAAAAATATGGTTTTAGGTATTTACGAGTCTTGTGTGGCAGGCTTAAGCCTTCTTGCTGTTATTTAATGTACCGTACTAGATAAGTTTGATTTTATACGACTTTTATAAATAATGTATTGAAATGTGCGTCTATGTATCCTACGTATATAAGTAAATGGAAACTTGTACAGGGAATAACATAACCTATTGACATGGTTGAGAGGATATGTTGCTTCTTGCTTTTATTATTTCAATTTAAAAAGTTTTAAATTAAATAAAAATGCCAGCCGCAATTTAAATTATTAAACGAAAAGTTAGTTGTTGTGCAATATGCTGAGAATTATCAAGTTAGATAGAATTTTTTAGAAAACAACAATCTTCATTTCCAGTTTTGATATCGGATACATACTTCTGCTAGTGTAATGTAAATGTGTAATAGCTTACATCAAATAACGACCGGTGCACAGATAAGACTAGATTAAACTTTGCAACAGTTAGGAGTTCTTTCAACACAGGTGTTAACGAGCTCCAAATTTCATTGCCTTCGACTGAAATTAATAGTGCATAAAAACAAATAATTTATTTCGAATTTGTTCTATAGGTCAGACTTGAATAAATGAAATGTGTCACAGCAAGACTTAGCCCCTGAGCTTGACGAGAGCTGCAGCAATGAGCGCCGTGACGCGCTCCTTGAGGCCGTGGCCGGGGGGCGCCTTGTGAAGCTGAAGCTCCGAGGCGCTCACGCCTGGGCAGTGACATCACAATTAATGGAATAAAATACCTGATATCTCTTGATTTTAATAGAATAGAATAGAATAGAATAGAATAGAATAGAATAGAATAGAATAGAAGTGTCGGCACTGAAGAGATAGGGCCATGGCCTGTTGCCGATTCTTGAATTTCAATAAATACCGAGATGTGTGGGAATAGATCATTTCTGGAAAATTTGAATTTCTGATTCCATAAATTTTTTAAAAATTTCAATATTTTCGTTTCTTCCGTTTTCGCCTATGTATGGTTTTATTAGTATACTATTTTTATTTATAATCATGTCGGCAATAATGAACTGGGAGGTAAGCGATGAACGAAAATTTGGAAATAATTGGTCAAGTGTAAAGGTGAACCTTTTAGTGTCCATGGGAAAATTTTGTGAAAAACTACATATGTAAAACTGAAAAATGTATGAAAAAAAAAACGATTATCACCTAGGTTGACCTCCGAGCCTTTCCGGTATGTGGTACCGGAAGGCGTAAAGGACAGCGCCGAAAATGCGTCGGACTGAGCCAGGCTTGTTTCTTCGTTGTACAACTCCATTCGTAATCGCTCAAGAGCTGCAATAAAAAGAGTTTATATCAATTATAAATATTTACAATGATTAATTAAAGATCGTTTATAAATGGAATTTGACAAGAAAAATCAACATGGGCTATTTTAAGATTTTTTTTAATATTTCTTTAGAATAAGAACGTTTTAAATGATAATCATTAACGACGAATGTTTCCCTATTTGTAATTTAAAAGTAAATTTTCCTTTTCCATTGTAAGCTGTTTTTTCCTAATTAAAGAGTTTTCCAAAATTAATAGAGCGTTCGAAAGGGGTTGCAGAAGTTTTGTAATAAAAAAGAATTCAAAAATTAAGATTGTGTGGAGACTTACCTTAAAATATTCAAGTAACAATGAAAAAAATCCGCTCGGCTTTCTTTATGCTTCGCTCTCCTATTCTAAAACAATTTACCAAAAAAAATTAAAATTTAATTAAATCGCGGAAATTAAGTTTTTTTCTTACAGAGCTCGGTAATAGCGAAAACTCGGAAGTGACCAATGATGACCACCTTTCAGAAGATCCATGTCGTCCATCTCTGTGTTCTGTATAGCGCGCAGTTCGTGCCAGAACTTATTCGTGAGCTTGCGTCGCGCGTAGTTTGCTTCGATCTCTTGCTTGGTGCGCGGCACGCGACAGTTCAGCACTCGGCAGAGCAGGCACACTGGTGGAGTGAGTAATATATGAGGCCAGAGATGCTTCATGATGTTTGACATGAGTAATATGCGGTCAGAGATGCTTCATGATGTTTGACATGAGTAATATGCGGTCAGAGATGCTTCATAATGTTTGATATGAGTAATATATGGTCACATATCTTTCATATAGGCTGTTTAACACGTATTATGTCAGTACAGCCGAAAATAGATGCTTCATTAAGCATTAGTGTTCAGTATAACTAATATACTGCCAATTGTACTTTATTATGCATGTCCATATGTGATATACTCACTTGGATTTAACTTGAAGTTAGTCATAAAATATTAAGAGTTGATTATTTAATTGAATTCCTATGTAGCTAAAACTATAACTATGAAGAGAAGCTAACAGCCTTCATAGTTATTTTTATGCTTAACTACTTAAAGAAAAACTGAACGAAAAGATTTGACTTTCTGCCCTGCTTTAAACATCGTTTTGTTTAAGCACGCCTGTTACCAGCGTAAAGCCATTATAATAGCGGTTTCAGCGTTTATTAGGCCGTAGGCCTGTCGCCGATTCTTAACATCGCAGAACATTCACAGCTTGTTGCGGTCTCGAACTCGCAACTCACTGATACAATTTTGCTTTGCTCAATCGCCCGGCCTCCTTGCCGATTCTGACCAGAAACTGGTGCACAGCCACAGAGCTGGGATCGAACCCGCGCCTCTCTGCGTCAATCTTGGTACTGAACTTTGACCACTGGGCAACCCTGCCCATTAGCCCATCATTATAGCCCATTAGAATGAGGTATGCAGTAATTTAATATTGTGTAACCTTAGAAAATGATGTAACCTAATCTAATAAAATATATAGTAAAAAATACAATATTTAATTAACTAACCAAAGGTAAGGCAGGCCAGAGATGAGATGCCTATGACATGCCACCTCCTGAAGGCGCCCCACACAACCTGCTCCTCCCAGGGGCGCTCGCTGTATTGCTGCAGGTCGTCACTCAGACCATGACAGCCGCCGTCCTGCAGTTTGTAACCCTAGATCAATCAAACTTTAACTAAATATTAGGTAAAATATCCCTAATGTTTCATTTTTCGTACGATTGTTTCGTTCAGATTCGATTAGCCTTATTTCTGAACCTATATTATGAAGTAAATGTTTGATAAATTACATTGACTTATTCAAAGATTGTAACGAAGTTCGAAAGTAAAGAGAATTACATCTTTTGTGACCCTCACGATCGTCAATGTTATACTAAAAATTTTAGCCCATGAATCATCTCAGAAAAATTATTTCACAGCTTTATCGACGAATTTTTCATTTGCCAGAACAGCGGCGATAGGTAAGTTTAATATATTTTTTTTAATAGTAGCTTTCATCTTTGCATGCTTATTCCTTACCAGAAGCCAGAATGCCATTGCTTTACTGAGTATTATTTAAAAACATTTAAAATTTTTAAAAACATTTGCAGAGTGCGGGAGAGATCGACGCTAGAAAGAAATGTATATTTTGAAAATATTTCAACATAATTCCTTTCAATTAAGTTAAGCCAGCTGGCAAACGCCTGTGATATTTTGATAATATTAAGATCACTTGCACTCTACTTCAAGCCACACTGTTAACAATGATCGGCTGAGTTTTCTATGAAACTTGATAATTTAGGAGATTATTTATGTTCACTTGAATGCTGGACACAATTTATTCAATTTTAGTTAATGCAGGTACTTACGACGCAAGGCTTTCCCGTTTCGTTAATGAATGAATCCATCTAGATTAAACTAGGGCAGAAATAGTGAAATAAGCGAGAAAAAAATAGTATTCTGTAGTGAAGAAATATAATTACTTCATCCTAGCGATAATTTCGCTGGCACAGACACGCACTCAAACAACGTAAACAAATACAGAACTAGATGCAGATACGCCACGAAGGCAGCAAATAAATACGCCACTATAAAGCATCAAATAAATACACTCTCAAAGCATCAAATAAATACACCCCATAGCTTCAAATAAATACACCCCCATAGCTTCAAATAAATACACCCCCATAGCTTCAAATAAATACACCCCCATAGCTTCAAATAAATACGCCCAAACCCACGAAACAAACGAGACGAGGTTTCGTGGACCAAAATTTTTGTAAATTATTTCTGCTGCCTGGCGGATGTCGCGGAGAAGTTCATGTATTCGGTAAATGTTACTCTGAAATATTCATAAGCACGGAGTTGTGAGTTCCAGATGCTATATTAGCTATTTAATAAATAAATTCAAGACTTAGTAAATTTATTTTTCTGAATTTGAAAAACTACCAACGTATGCTGGCGTATAAATTGATCGATGATATTGTACAGAAAAATTGGAAAGGCCTGCAAAAGTCGAACAATAAAATTATACTTAGTGCAGCAAGGCAGCACCGCAGTGCAGAGGCTGCAAACCACTGAGTGCAGCGCGGCGCAGCACCGCAGTGCAGAGGCTGCACACCACTGAGTGCAGCGCGGCGCAGCACCGCAGTGCAGAGGCTGCACACCACTGAGTGCAGCGCGGCGCAGCACCGCAGTGCAGAGGCTGCAAACCACTGAGTGCAGCGCGGCGCAGCACCGCAGTGCAGAGGCTGCACACCACTGAGTGCAGACGCTGCACACCACTGAGTGCAGACGCTGCACACCACTGAGTGCCCAGCGTGCAGGTACAGGCTGAAGGACCACGCCCAGGCAGGCAGGCTGGGCGACATGCGAGGCCAGCGGCTCGTGAGGTCACGGGTTGCTTTGTTGCACGAAGCTTTGTTGGTAAAACTAATTTGCTTTACGTAATGCTAATTATTTATGATCCTTTGAAGTATTACTAGGCTTTTTGACTCGTTTCAAAGATATTTTGTTTGCATTATTTCAAAATCTTTCTAGTTACAAATAACGAATATCCCGGAAGATAACAACAGGGACCGAAATTCGTCCGAAATAACGTCCTGCGCGCGACTCTAGGTTGGCCCTAAATAACCATGACAGTCATGCCATATAAAACGCATTTACTTTCTTCTATGTAGTATATTTACGGTTTACCGAAATCTTCATTGTAATATCTCTGACTTTTGCCCTGCTTATTGCTTAGGGGTAGGTAAATATTAGGGGTAGATAAACATTGCGTATAAATTCGAGGCCTCGTACATATAGGCTTGGAAAATAAAATGACCAAATGCGTGAGCTTTATTCATGACTATGCGATGGCTACAATACATGAATGAAACCACGGTTCAACTAAAATTATTTAGGTAATATCATGCTTGAACTTGTATTAGTTCAACCATGGCTAAAACTGAACATTCTAACGGAAATTACTCTTCTCAAGTCATTTGTTTCTTTAATTGACTCAGCTGCCTGCGCTTATAATATTCACAAAATGCCAGAATGCAGTCGAGTATAATTTATCGTACCAGTATTCATGCTTTATTCCCAAAAATTTGAAACTAAACCTGTTCTGAAGAAGTCATAAACTGATTTTTAAAAATTAAGTGTAAAAGCATTTTGCATAAATTGCTGAAAAAGTTTTTGCTAGTAAAAAAGTTTGTCGTTCCACTGAGGAGGAAATTTAATAAATTATGCGACATCGAGGAAAATTCAATGCGTTTGTACAAATTTCTAATTTTTATAAATGGTTCCAGAGTTTTCAAATGTTACCGTCACTACCAGCGTAAAAAAGCATTAGCATAGTTGCTGCCGTGAAGTGTGGATCACATAAGCTTACATCGTATGCTAAGAACTTTGCCTCATGTTGTCATGTTCGTAGTTTGAAAGATCGCTGAGATAAGAGAAAAAATTGTTGCAAAAGAGCAAGTAATGACAGGAATAGCGGGAGGACTTTTTTACTAGACGAAAACATTGAATCAACTCAAGGTATGACTTTTCATAGAAGTAATGTTCGTCAACATTTGTAAAACGCTTGCTACTTCTGTCGCAGGAACCTAACTTCTTTCTGATACTCATGATCCATGAATGCCTTTATCAGCACTGCCTGTGACTCAAATGCTTGCTAGACAAATTGATGCCTGGTTGAAGCTTTATCTCCCTTGCCTATGTTCTATATCCAGGACAAAGTTAATCCAAGACAATGGTCAGTATCTAGCACAGTGGTCGGTATCAAGGACAATGATCAATATCTAGGGCAGTATTCGATATCCAGAACCTTGTCAGGTTCTTTTTGTATTAATGCCCCTAAATTGCTCGAATCTCACATCCACTAAAAATTTGAAAGCGGAGATAATTCCACAAAAATTTCCCATATCTCTTTTGAAAATATTGAAATTTTGAATAGATAGAAATATTTACTAGAAATCATGAATATATACGTTTTTACTTTATTACTCTGTCATTCGTTTGTAATTTTAGGCATTCACTTGTGTATTTTTTTCTTTTGAATTTCCACTGTATTTACTTCGGATTGTATTTGCTTTCCAAGTTTTTCGAACTGACGATGAAGCTGGACTCTGAAACCGTTTCAATAGAGGTATGGCGAATTTTTGTAAAGTTATATTTGCTTTTAAATTTGTAGGTTCATTTTCTGGACGTTGCAACTATAGGAACGCCCACAGCAAAGACTAAGTGCACGATTACTCCCAACACGCAAAATGCTTCTATTGTGTGGTTCGTTGAACACGCTTGTAAATTTAGAGATTGAATTTTAACACGCGTCGATGCGACCGAAATCGGAAACATGGCTCGACAGTTCAAATGCACATTTTACGAGATATTTATTAGACTGACAATCTAATGCGGCACACATAAATGGTAAGTTTCATTGGCATCGTCGGCAAGTAGTTTCAACTGTAATAGTTACATTTTTCACTAACACGTTAACACCACTTGCATCTCCAAGCGAATAGGTTGCAAAGATAATCTGTATAGATGTTTAAGCTTTAAATGAAAGTTCATGATAGAGCTTTCAAGCTAGGGCATATAATTATGCTGCGCTGCATCCTTCTTGTTCTCGTCTCGATTTGGCCGGTGCTGGCCATGCGATCTTGTTTCCAAGGGCTGCAAAAAGAATGTTCGAGCTACGATCGCGAATTTTCAGCCTGTCTCTGCGCTGCAGATTCTACAAGAGAAGAACTATGCTGCGACTTGAATGGCCGGGTAAGTAAGCTTATAAGATGCACTATAATCCTGATGGAAGAGAGCTTTGGTTTACAATGAGAGATAAATTATTGTTTTCATGCGGGTTACCAGCAGTTCACCTTAGCGTGGCCCAGCATACAGTTTGAGTCAAATCATTGCAGTTTGAGAATCTTCTTCTTTCAAATCCTGTCGTTTCAAACATCATTCCAAATCAACTTAATAATTGTAAAATAAATTTATTATTACGAGTATCAAGGAAAGACTCCAAACCCACATTTTGCGATGAACTTCCTTTTTAGATTATTAAGTAACTTTTGAGAATCTTGAACATATTTTTGAGCAGATTTTAATTATCTTAGCGGAAATCATATTTAATTCTTTTCCTTAACTTTAGAAATGACTCAGAATTCCACAATCAAAAAATATTTCCAGGTACCATCCCCTTGCGCTATGCATCGTGGATATGCAACCCGTTCTGTCTTTAAATCTTTGCGGCGCCAGACGACAATGCACATATAGTAGCTAATTTTGACATAGCGAGGCGTGGTTCATTTCTTTAGTTCTATTCTTATACTTGCCCATATTTATTCCAGTCTGGGGTAATCAGTCATGACTCAGTGCGGTTCTTTGGAAAAGTGGTTGTGCGAGATGCTGAAAATTTGGATTTCTATCCTGACTGCAACAACCCTCAAAACATCACATTCATCAACATCAAGAATGGAAGCTTCAAAAATGCAAGTATTGATATGAACTTTTGAAATATATTTTAATATCGAGTGATTTATAGTATATTATAAATGGTACGTATAAATGATACGTAAATGATACGTATGATACGTATACGTATCATACGTGTGAATGTGTTAATGGAAAATGTACCGATATCCAGGCACGATTTTTGTGTGGCTGCACGAAATTAGCAGAAAGATAGTCGCAAATTATTTTCGTTGAAAGTTGGGATATGAACACATATAGTTTCAATATAAATTGAAATTTTTGTGTTTAATAGTTCTTAGACTGCGTTGATTGCTTCAAAATTTACTTCAGCAAGTTGGTGTCGCTCCGGTTCGGTGCCCAACTTTAGTTGACGTCCGTGATTCGTTCTTCAAGAACTTCTGGCTGATCAATGGTCTAACATTGTTTAAAGCCCAAGTCAATGCAGTCGGGTGGGCAACTGATTTTACGCACATTCGGATGGATAACAGCACTGTAAATTTGCTGTCAAACTTCTCAGTTAGTAACCCAGGTTGGATAAAGAGAGAATGTTTTACGATGCAACATTCTCTTATCAACGAAGCTGTTCACATCAACGTAGCTTGCGACGTTATAATGGAGAATACTGTGCTGAAGTCCATCCAACATTCACGCTTCTCTCGATCTCGAATAACGAATTCGACGTTTGAAAAAGTTCCAAAATACGGCCTCACTTTCCTGCGAGGCTGGCACAGAATGAGAGAAGTGACATTCACGACGCTGGCTAAAGAGAGCCTCATATTTGCTTTCCAGTCAGACGTTTCGATAGTAGGCTTAAAAATATTGAAGTGCGAAATGCCATGTATTACAATCGAGGGAGGCTTCATTCACGCCACTAATGTGTCTATAAGTGGTGAGTTGATACCTAACTTTTTGAGTAGTGGATACGTAAAACACGTGCCGTCAGAGGAATTTCGGATGGTGAGAACAACCGACGTCTCGTGCCGCGCTGGGTCTTCGAAACTCGTCTGCGACCTCGGTGCTCACGATACTATGGTTAGTGCACGGTATTTTGCCTTCTTATAATAATAATTCAATTTCATTTGCGGAAATTAGCAAAACATTGCTCCACATGTTTGTACCTGACGCAGGAGAATAATAATAATTATAAAACTGTTAATAATAATAATAATAATAATTAAAATCTTTCGTGTTTTAGGCGAAATAAAGCTAAATTCACGACTGAATGAATGCTACTTTTTTTTCTGCCTAATGTATTACTAACTGCTCCTCTTTCACAGCCTGTGGTCTTCCTGCCTACAACAGAATATGCCGAAATTTTGGTCATGAAGCACCACAACCTGGGGATTTTCACCAACTGCTACAAGCATCTAGCCATCAAGCAGGTTATAGGTTATGTAAGAGAAGAAGGAAGTTACCAAGCCACCACAGTTCCTTTTATTGAAGGACACTTGGACGGCACCTCGAAAATTTTGGAATGCGATGAGGTTCCAAAAACCCTTTACATCGAAGACTGCAAGTTGAGATTCCTGCATGCTGCTGACCTCGAAGAGCTCGTCGTCACTAAAGCAGAAGTTGGATCCGTTGAAGTAAAGTCGCCCATGAATTACGTAAAGTTTGATTACGCGGAAATCCATTACCTCGAAAACGTGGAATACTTCAAAGATCCACAAAAGAAGTCGATGTTTGAGATGAGCGATGTGCTTTTCACCTCCATCTACGGTCTCTACCTGCGATCTGGAGGCATCCTCTCCTACTGCCGCGTGCAAACGAAAGTGAGTTCACGCTTCTCTTCACAGCAATGATAATAAGTATCAACAGCCATATTAATCAGGATGAGGAGGCGGAATGCTTTAAAAGTATTCCATTTTCGCCGTTGAGTACACGATTAGTGCTGGTGAATTCAATTTGTTGTTGATAGCAGAAAATGGAGAAGCAATGTTAGTGTCTGCATTCGTTTGCATTTTGTTTATATTTTTCAAATATTGAATTGATTTTCGATTTATATATAACAGATTGCACTTCTTATGCCCACAGATAGCGAATTTAACGCTAAATCTCAGTTTACCAACTGACAGCTTGCTCATCAAAACCACGCACATCGAACGCATACCCGAAAACGGTGGGTATATATGATTTTTAAACGGTGTTTTAATTTGCAACATAGCTCATTTATTGAATCTTCAGTTTCAGTTGGAAGGCAAATACCATTGTAAATGTTGTAAAACCCACTTTTGCTTTATCTTTATCGCCCAGTAAACTTCTCCTAGGGTGTCTTAATGGGTGCGGCCAAAATATTAGATTTGACAACAGAATAATAATTATCCATTAGTGATTATTCATTTTTCAGGCATAACCATTGTGCGTGGCATCTTAATTTTCGATGAGGTGACCATCGTCGACCTGGAGGCCGACGCCATCAACATCCAACATGGCGGCAAGCTTGTCGTCTCAGGAGCGTTAGACCCGCCCAAGCCCTTGGGGTGCAGCGAGTTTGCTCCATCCATCGTCGTGCAGTCGCGTTACCAGGTACCATAAACATGTTTTGCACACGCTTGCTACCTCCATCGTCGTGCAGTCGCGTTACCAGGTACCATAAACATTTCTGTTTGTACACGCTTGCTACATCCATCGTCGTGCAGCCGCGTTGCCAGGTACCTGAATGTAGGTGTCCTCGGAGCCAGTAGTGGCAGCCAGTAAAACTTTCATATGCTTAGTGCTACTAATTTTCATGCTCCTGCTGTATCATGTCAAGAGTAAATTATAAACAAGATTCGAATTTTTTTGAGGTAGTATATGAAATATGTATTAAAGTGCACTGTCAAGTTCATTTACAATTTATCCCATGCCGTGTGACTTTTAACAAAATGGACGTGGAAATATTTTGAACGAAGCTATTGAAAGAGTTGCGTCAGTTTTTGATAGACATTCAATATATTCGTGACTCGTTAAAATTTCTCCTCTGGTTTAACAGTATAAGACAGGTTTCACGTTCATGACTTCCCTGAAATTTTGTTTGGACTGTTCAGGTCGTCTTCATTGGCGCACCTACCCCAAGTTGGCTGTGGAATTGCGTCAAAGTTATGCCTGATGCAAAGTTTGAAGTGGACATCGAGCAAGGCTACGTTAACCTTAAACCAAGTGACTGTGAACTGGATTCTCAGTACCAGTATTCCTGCGAAGCATACACAGGAGTAAGTTGATAGTCTTAAGTGTTCAATAAATTTTATTTCGGCATTTACTTATTCATTGTTTGAAGCCTAGCTCTGCTAATAATATTTAGCGGCTATTTGGGCGCGTAACCACAATACACTATACATGTACGGTCGGGGTATTAGCAGGACCTAATACCTATGTTTTCTGTGGCTGGATAGTCGAGATAAGACATGCATAGTATTTTATTTTAGTCATTTGATTCAGACTTACTAATTTTAATCAGGAGAATACATTTTCTTGAAATTTTTATACACGTCATACTAAAATATGAAGATATCGATAGATAGGATTTTCATTATTCTTCAATAACACAAGTTTGGCTATAAAATTTGTGACTAGGCTCGGGGTGACGATATTCTTAAATCTTGGGAATTTTCTATACCGGCCAGCGGTATTGATGGACAGATACCGGCCAACGGTTCAGTTGCTAATTGATTTAAAACATGCAGCTGCGTCCGTCGCAACTCTCAATAGGTCATGCATGAGTGTTTACAGCTGAACCTAGCATATTGCTGAATAGCTAATGAATACTAACAGCTGCAACCAGCGCAATCGCGCGTGACTGCGTCCACTCGCGCGTGATTGCAACCGCTGGCGCGTGACTGCGTTCACTCGCGCGTGATTGCGTCCGCTCGCGCGTGATTGCGTCCGCTCGCGCGTGATTGCGTCCGCTCGCGCGTGATTGCGTCCGCTCGCGCGTGATTGCGTCCGCTCGCGCGTGATTGCGTCCGCTCGCGCGTGATTGCGTCCGCTCGCGCGTGATTGCGTCCGCTCGCGCGTGATTGCGTCCGCTCGCGCGTGATTGCGTCCGCTCGCGCGTGATTGCGTCCGCTCGCGCGTGATTGCGTCCGCTCGCGCGTGATTGCGTCCGCTCGCGCGTGATTGCGTCCGCTCGCGCGTGATTGCGTCCGCTCGCGCGTGATTGCGTCCGCTCGCGCGTGATTGCGTCCGCTCGCNCTGCACCACACTTCCCTGCCAACCATTAGCACATCACGTCCCCATAATGTCGGTGTCACCTGCACCACACTTCCCTGCCAACCATTAGCACATCACGTCCCCATAATGTCGGTGTCACCTGCACCACACTTCCCTGCCAACCATTAGCACATCACGTCCCCATAATGTCGGTGTCACCTGCACCACACATCACACCAGCTAAGTTTGTTAGAAGGCTACTCGACCTCTTCACTGTCACAGAGAGGAGCCATACTTGGTGGCAACAACAATTTTGCTGAGGCTCGAGAAGTGTCGATTAAGGGCGGTCATCGCCTCATCGTCAAGGAGCATTGTCTCGACGAGGTCAGTTATGAATGGTAGAACGCATCACATGATGTGAAAGTGATCTTGGCTCCCGGGCGCTTTAGTAACTAATCATGGCAGAGTTTAATTTAGTTTATTGATCTGAAGCCTTAAAAGAAAATACAAGCATCGATATCGTATCCATAAACGAGTCGATTGTGTTTTTGTGAGGCTTTGATGGTAGATGTGCACGAGTTTAAAAAGCAATTCTTCGTAATTTTCAACGTCATTGTAAGAAAATAACAAGCTCCATCATTTGGGTTTCCCTAGTCTAAATTTTGTGGTAATAATTTTTAACTTTTTCAGAGCAAGTTACATTTAAATTTAAAGACCTTGCGCAACTACGTAAATCTAGATCAGTGGTTCACAAAGTGGGCGGTACCCCCCTGGGGGGGTGGAATGATCTGGGGCCCGGGGGCAGTGAAGAATGGGGCGGTATGAGGGGCGGCAGTACTAGTGCTGAAACCATTAAAAAAAACATTATGTTGTTGCAACGGTAAAAACTGCTAAACATATATTGCTCTACTAAATTAGGTTTAATCTGTGATATATATATTTGTGTTTAACCTTTCTCTTTTCAAATTGCAGCATACCAAATATCAAGAAATAGGTGTTTGTTTTCATATGTGTCTGTAGGGGAGCGCTAGGAATTCACTGGGGAGCCAAGTGGGCGCCAGCCTGCAAAAGTTCTGGGACCGCTGGTCTAGATAATGGCTTAATCCCATATACGTATATATTAGGACCAAATAGAAGGTAATTCCTGTTATTTTCCGTCTCATCCTGATTGTGCCTTATTTTTCATTTGCAGTTGAAAATATATTCGGTGCCCAGAGTGAAGATTGCTTTTGTAGATACTTCTTGCTTCCATAAACTCGAGGTTCACAATTCTTCTGTCAACAAACTGTGGAACAACGTATTCGCAGCAAAAGTAACGGAATCTCGCATCATAGATTTTCGTCCCACGGCAGAATTGGAACAAACGTTAATAACATCATCCAAAATGGACACCATACGAGCAGGCATACGGAATGGAGTTTTCAATGGAGTGGATATTAACACAGTGGAATCGATGAGTATTTCGTCCAACCTAACTATGATTCATACTCTCATCGACACATTGCTGGAGTCATCGATATCTATTTCATACAATGCTATTTTGACCATCGATCACTCTTCTATCAGTAACATGAATATCAAATGTATTACAGTATTTGGAAATCTCACTATACTCAATTCAGTCATCCATCACTCGGTCAACGGCAGTATTGTCGTGCATCCGGACTCCCACATTCACTTAGAAAATGTTACGATTTCCAGTCAGGTCCCTCACATAATCAGCATGGAAGGACCTGCTAATTTTGTATTGAAGAATATTCACGTGAAAAACAGAACTATGCGCGGGGTTCAAAAACTGACACTGGTTAATGAAAATTTGGAAGTCGATGCTGACGTAAGTAAAGCAACTTTGCCACCATTGAATGAAGATTTCCCACCACCAAACAATGAAAACTCGGAGTGGATCAAATTACAATCAAACGACTCGACAGTGCCCGACCGTGACGACATTTTGCAACCGGAAGAAATTAGTCCTAAAAAAAGAGTTGAAAAGGAAGTGGTCTACTCGGTCATGAATGGTTCTGTACACGATGCGAAAATTTTTGAACATGTTAAATTCGATGTGATGAATCATGACGTGGATGGAAAGTCTGGTAAGGCTGTAGACACAATGGATATCGCGCAACGTAGCGAAGAAGCCGTGATAAATCCTACTGAAACAGTGAAGGCAACCACAAAGGAGACGTATGCAGTGGTGGATCTTGTAAAGCAATCCAAGACTTGGAGTGCTGAAAATCTTGAGGCGAGTACCCACAAGCCAATGCATCCCCAAGCTGCAAAAGCTACAGACAACGGAAAGACCAACGCAATCCCCACTTCCCAGCCTTCAGGCGCAGGATTGTTGGTGGTCTTCCTCGTCATGTTTTTCGCAGCAATTTTATTGCTCATCATTGTGATGTGAGTACGACTAGTTTAAGGTCATGAGCACCAAAGGAATTCGTACTCTTAAACAATTTTGTTTTTGTATCTCTATGCCTTGATGTGCATAGAATCTTTAGGCATCTCCGTTTTTGAAAAGCCTATTAATGATTATGTATCAACAGAGGTGGGCAGTAGCGCTCTACATGTAGCGGCCGCTACATTTTCAGCAGCGGTAGCGGCGCCATATTTAAGCAATTGCAGAGGTAGCGGCAGCGCCCGCTACATATTTAAGTAGCGATACGAGGTTTTGCTGCTACAGCGCTACCGCTACATTTATAAATAAAGCTTTTAGATTTTACTTAATAGTATTAAATATTATTTAAAAACCAGCATGATTCATACATAATATAAATTACAGAATGAAACTGTACGAAAGATTTCGGTGTAATGTTGTCAACCTCAGCCTGTTACTAGTGTCAGCATGTTAGTTGTTACTTGTTAAGTTGCAGAGATGGGCAGTAGCGCGCTATATGTAGCGGCCGCTACATTTTCAGTAGCGGTAGCGGCGCTGCATTTTAAGCAATGTAGCGGTAGCGCCCGCTACATTTAGAGCATGTCGCGGTAGCGGTAACGGCCGCTACATTTCAAAGTAGCGCTGCCCAGCTCTGTGTATCAATGATTGGCACGCTTCCGTTGAGCTCAACTTTGAAACAAAGGCTAAATTAAATATGTAGAAATCATTATTTTCAAGTACAGTTTGCAGCCTGTGTGAATTATAATTTTAGTGCAATTTTGTTATTTTCTCACCGCAGGATGTACTACAAGAAATACATGAATCTTCGCACCGAGAATCAGACGCGTGCCTACCAGCCCATGGCACTTGGGAGCCGCTCCGACGCAAGCGAGTCTCAGGCGGAGGGAGAACACGCTTCTGTGGAGCTAAAGTCTACCGTGGCAGTGACGTTCAAAGCTGCCCCTCTACAGAGGGAGACATCGCCCACCTTCGCCGAGGACGACACTACGATGGCAATCGCGGACAGGGTCAATTTGGTACAGTAAATTACTGTACAGAGACAATAGCCGCTCTCCAGAGCTTTATATCGAAATCTTTGAGCTGTAACTTGCACTAAGCTAGTTATGGGAGGTCCTGATCTCATTTTACTGTCCATAAAAAAGGTAAAGTTTCCTGTGCTAAGAAATAGAATAAGGCAATCGTTAAATAAACAGATTTTATAAAGTTTGGTTTAATTAAGAAATCGAGTCAATCGTTCAAGTCCCTTGCATCAATTAATGTAATGTTAATTAATAATAACAGTTGAATAACAAAATTATATTGATATTCAGTTATCGCGGATCCAATCAAGAGTTCGTGGAAACTCATCTTTTCAGCTGTGAGAAAAAATTTTGATATACTAACGAAATTTCCGAATTCATGTGACTAAAATAATCTTGGAGTAACGAGAAGCCTGCAGTTGTCACATTCTATAATGCAACATGAAACATTTCTCAACTATAGTCCGACATGGTAGGTTAAGAAGATCATATGCAGCAAGGACTTTATTGCATCCTTAGAACATTTTCGTACCTGCACCTGACTAGTATACTCGTAAATTGACGTCGGGCACGAATCTGTCACGGAGCAGATTAACAGACCGCAATGCTTTGCTGTCATTGACCTAAAGATTTAAATAAAAACTTCCGCACGTTAGCGTAGCAACAGCCAGTTTTTATTGAAAGTAACTCCGTCAACTACAAGTGTCATTTTAAAGATGTCCTGCGGTGACATCAAACACAATCGTCTTGCCAACGTTCTCATGCGTCATAATCATGCTTGGCAAGATACCCGGAAATTGGGTATGGCTCTTCCGCTTACGATCGCGATCTTGTCAAGGTTGAATTTCGCTGTTGACTTCTCGTATTAGAAAGAGTCTTCAAAGTTTTCTGCTTTCTAAAAATACTGTTTGCATTAAAGTATGTGTACTTCACTCTTTCGATCCAACGTAGCACCTATGTTAAGCAACGTGAAAAAAATTCATGAACTTGCGTCTTTATACAAATTGGCGCAACGAAAACAAACTGACCCCGAGTTGGAACAATAGAACCCCGAGTTGGAACAAACCCTTGCCCATTGTAACAATTGTTAATTGAATACATATCGCTACATACAACTCGAGTTTCGTTCGTGGGCAGTATGTACATGAACTTAATTTATATTTATGTAATCGTTCCCATGTCGCTCAGTTTCCATCTCTCTAAATGACATCACAGCAACATAGAGGCTCAACAATGAAGTTCAAGTAGCCAGAAGTTGTTGCTAACATGTGTGGGGCGGTTATGTGTTATGTAGCGCTCCTATTATACAGACCTCGCTAATTGTCACAGATTCTATAGCCCAAATAATTATCTAGTCGACATTCTTCAGACTTGATGAAATTAAACTAGAGCAACTTGAACTCAATAGCGTTAATATCACAGAGATTGAATGCAACAAGCCTATATTAAATCTCTAAACTAGTCTTGTATATGCCCACAAATGTCCATACATAACAGAGCAAGGCTGACGAATACACAGCTGAAGATAAGACGTTATGTTATCTTTTGCTGCGGCTGGACTCGAGGAGACTTGAGAAGCTGGGGCTGACCAGAAGCCTGCGGTCCACTCGGCCGAGCACGGCCATCTTGCCGCTCTTGCGAGTTTCGTCGATGCTGACGTGCGCAACTTCCTGTGCCAGACCACGAATATTTAATATTGCGTAAATAGGCTGTTAAATAGTGATATTTTAAACACCCGAGAAAATGATAAGAGATCCAAATTCGTATCTGCAAAATACTGGTATTATCGGCAAGAATGTGTTGGTAGTAGGTTGCCAAATAGAACAAGGGCGAAAAGCCATAACGAAAACGTGGATTTGTATATACTTTTTCTCTGGTAAAATCTTCACTGAAGATAAGGATATAATTAGTCGGATTTTCCACGGCACTGACCTGAAGAAAGTCTTGCTGGCAGCCCACATTGATAGGTAGAGCGTAGTTGCCCAGGCAAAGTTCGGCACGACCAGACTTGTAAATTTTAACGCAGCCAATTTGGCCGCTTGGGAGGTCGCGGAGGCGGCAATATTCAGCCTTCTTCTTACCCTCTTCTTCCTCGGTGTCGAGCGCACTCGACTAAAAGCCACAAAACAGTCACATATTTAATTAAAAAACAAATCTCTACCGAGTAAGAGTTGCCTAAATATTGGTGTTTCTTGGGTGCGGTATATCAAATGAAAAGCTGAAATGAGTTCAGTAATAGGAAGTATAGAAACGAATTAAGTGCAGACACTGTGTGTCTCATAAATGCTTAATTCCAAGTCGACGTAATATAGATACTTTTAATTACTTTAACTAGTTTTAAATCTTAAGTAAAAGAATACTAACCAAAAACCCGAGTGATAAGAAAAAATATAACTCTGTACTCACTGCAGTGAGTGACAGAGAGCGCATTTTCTCGTCGACGAAAACGTGAAGTCACGGACGGACAGACAGACAGACGGACATGGCGAGCACAATAGTGCATTTTTTCCATAAATGAGAAAATGTGCTAAAAAAGGGAGGATACAGCTGAACGAAAATAGACTCACTGTTCCAGGCTGTAGTCTCGCGTGTGAACCTTCCCCAGAGACGATGCTTGGTAGAGTCTGCGGCAGCTGAAATGCCACAAATTCCCTAATCAGTTTAACGGCAGGAAATCGCAGCATAGATGCCAAGAAGCAGTCGGTAATAATACAACCGGTTTCTAGTTAATAATAACACATAGCAACAAATGTTTTGAAGTGACTGAAATGTCTCTACCTCCTTAGCTTTCAAATTATGAACACGTAAATCATTCGTACATCATACGGGAGATATTTTCTCGCACTCAGAACAACAGCCCCTCGACATACAACGGCGCCTGGCAACCCCAACACGGAAGGGATCCCGGCCACCCCAAAAATACACAAAGGTAGACAGATGAACTCCCTATGTGGTCTAGATGGAACAGCAAACTCATGGCAAGGGTTGCTGCAATGAGGCTAACCTGAAAGAGCAGCATGGTGTTCTTGTCTTGCGAAAGGACGTCGCCGGCCGTTGTTGCTGCTGCACGGTTGGCAGGAGTCATCGGTACACTGGTCTTGTCATCAACAGTTGTGGCTGCTTCGACACCGTTGATCTGCACGAATACGAGTGTCTTGATCGTAATGCTTCCCATTATAGATGATGATTGAAATTCAGCAACGTACTTTCAATAAGTAACAAATGTTTAGGAGAATAACAATGTGAAAAGTGACGAATTCAGCCTCGTTGCATTGAGGGGTTAAAAACTAATACTTAATGAGGTTTTAGCGCCGGAATATGAGGTTTGATTTCTAATTCTGCATAATCGTTTAACTAGGAGAACTAGAGAAAAAATCGATAAAATAATACGAGTGCTATAATAGGACATTATTGATGCGATCAGGAGGCAAAGTTATTGTGTAAGGAATATCAGAGGGCGTATAGTCTTCGGCTTACGGCGGATGCCTATTTTTCCACTGCGACAAGATAAACGTGGCAAGCGCTCATTTACTCTCGATGGGCTCGTTACAAAGTACAAACTCACCAAACCTGACGCATGACCGTTGCTCAGATGAGGAGACTCGTCGGGTTCGACTTTGATTTCTGAAAGTAACCAAAAAGTTTTATTGGTGGAAAATTTACTCAGCAAACTAGATGCTGGTTTTTATAAAAATTTAAACCCAAAAGAAGATGAAATAATAGAAAGATGCGTCCCAACAAACATTAGAAATAGATGCAATAGAAAAAATTGTTATTCCAATTGGAAAATATGAAAATTTAGCAGACAAAACTAGAATATTCTAAAAGGCAAAAAAAAAAAAAAATGCAACAAAGTAACGTAGCAGTACAGAGTCGAATGCTTAAACGCTGTATATCTGAATACACACAAAAAAAGGAAAATATAGGGAGCTTAATATATATAAAAGCATAGTACAAATGATAGTCGATATCTCACTAGTATCACTTGGAACTTCTTTTTGCTGAGGTAAGGAGGAACTGGCGGCCGAGACCTCGAGCTTGACCTGCTTGAGCGCCAGGCACATGGGCTCACAGAACTGATGAGCATAATCGTCGCCATCGTCCTCGTGCTCGATGAAGTTATCACACACCATCTGGGCCATTGCTTCGTCTTCTTCTCCCTGTAAAAGAAATGAAATATAAGGTTAGGTTGCAAGATAATTCCCATTTCCTGTAAGCGAAATGTGAAGTTAAGTTGCAAAAAAAAAAATCTCTCAAAACCACCACCGGAATTAATTTAAAATAAAAATGATTGAATTGATTTAATACTGCAGAATAGAAAGAGAGAATTTACCTTGTCGACGGTTAAGCTTTCACCAGTAACCACCGGACGCTGCATCACTGCATCATCAGCTCTTGATGATCCTCCCCCTCCTCCACCCCCTCCCACACAGCTCCTCTTTAGGCCTCCACCTCCCCCTCCCCCTGGAGCAGCAACTCCTCCCCCAAAGCTGGATGCACCGCCGCTGCTGTTGCGGACAGCCACTGAGGCGCAACCTGTAACAACAGAAGCTTTAACCCCACTGCACCATATTGAACCCTTTTAAAAACTATGTGTAGCGCAATCTTTCCACTGTGTCATCCAAATGCAGCCTTTCCTATTCTTGTGACGTGACTGTCTCCATAATCTGTACACGTTAGCTCTATGCGTGGCATTAAATGTCTGCATTATAAACTAAACTTGATTGAAAAAAGCTTGAATGCACAGCCTGTGATGGTTACAATAGTAACATAAATCATTTATACGTAAATGCGTTAGTATGAACAGGAATTCTGATTTGATAACTGCAGAATTTATTTGCTACAGTTGTATAAAAGATAAGTAAACATGACTGTGCCAACATTTCTGAATTTGACACTACCAAAATAAGTTCCACGGGCTGCCGCTGGCTCTAGGATCGTTTTTATGCTCCGCTAGGCAACAGAGGCAGGCAGGTTGTTTGATTTCCCAACTCCAATCTCTTGCCAAGCCAGCGTCCCTTCGACGCTTGGTCTTGCCTCAGCAGGCATCAGCGATGGAGCTTCCTCTTGCGTCTCCCGCCAGCTGCGAGTTGCAGTCTGTTACTCGTTTCCTGGCCGCTAAGGAATCGATGAAGGAAATTCACGAAGAACTTTGTCAAGTGTATGAGATCCGGGATAGTGAGCAGATGGTTCAGGAACTTTAAAAATGGCCGAACTGACGTCCACGACGACGTCCGTGTAGGGCGGCCTTCGGTTTCTGACGAAACAATTGACCAAGTCGAAGCGGTAATAGTAATAGTTAAGGATCGACGAATTACAGTTCGAGAGCTGTGTGAAAAAATTCCTGAGGTTAGCAAAATTACAACTGACAAAATTTTGACTGAACATTTAAGCTACAGTATACAAAGGTCTGCGCAAGGTGGGTGCCAAAAATACTCACAGCAGACCAGCGGTAGCGGGCCAAAGCTACCCAAGAAATTCTCGTTTTTCACGGAACAACCAAAGAGGAATTTCCAGACCCTGTGGTTACTGGTGACCTGACCTGGCTTCCTGACCCATCTGCGCAATATCCCGGAGCTCATACACTCTTCTCCATACAATTGACAAAGTTTTTTGTGAATTTCCTTCACTGATTTCTTTGAAGCGGCCAGGAAACGAGTAACAGAATGCAACTCGCAGCTGGCGGGAGACGCAAGAGGAAGCTCCATCGCTGATGCCTGCTGAGGCAAGACCAAGCGTCGCAGGGACGCTGGCTTGGCAAGGTATTGGAGTTGGGAAATCAAACAACCTGCCTGCTTCTGTTGCCTAGCGGAGCATAAAAACTATCCTAGAGCTAGCGGCAGCCCGTGGAACTTATTTTACGGACACGCATTGTATTTAGAGCGTCATTAGTTCACATTGCACGGCAAACTGACGGTCACAGCAATCGTCTACCACTTTGCACATTGTTATCCCAACTTTGTAAGTATAAATTCCGTAATGTCTCATACTGATACATTGAAGTACGGGTATATTATACCCGTTTACAGTGTTAAGTTTTTCCTCCAGGTTGCATTGTGTCATGTCTCTATGGGCGTTTGTTTCGTAATATCAAGACTGTTTTTTCAGGCATGCAACATTAAAGATGCCAAACTCTATTGAGTTTTTTTTTCTTTCTTAGGAACAATTGACCAAAAGGTACGTATGAGAATATGATAAACAGATTATGATTCAAACAAGGAGGCAGAAAGAGATTCAGATTGCAATGGTTTCAAGCAGCAACTCACCGTCTCCCCAGAGGCCCTTGATTTGCATGAGGTTGCTATTACCACGACCTCGCCCCCGCCCCCTGCCTCCCCTCCCTGCACGCCCCCGCTGATCGCCCCGCCCTCTACTCCGGTCACTCCGACCACTGCAACAAATAACACAGATCAGTAGCTCATTTTTTTCGAAATTTCCCGAAAAAAAATTTGGAACGTATTTTAGAGGACAGAGTAAGTAGCTGCGTATAACAGAGATGAGATCATAATGCAATGAGAATAAAACTCATCAAGTCAGATAAACTAGATGTTGAATGAAGTTAAATATAACACTAAAGTCATAGTTCATGCATGATCACTTATGGCACTTTTTCTCGACTCAACTAATGTTGCCACAAACAAAAATCATTTAATCAGTAAAATGTTGTCCTATTATTATTTTAATTCCCACTTTGAAAGGCCCACCAACAAAAATAAAAAAATAGCACAATAACAAGACAGACCTTTTTTAATTGTCAATATGTATATTTGATGCCTGCAAATATTCCAAATGCCATAAAAATATTCCTGAACTTTTCATCAACAGATAATTTGTGAATTAATATTATACATAGACATAAAAGAGTATACCTAATCAAAATTTAAATAGTGGTTATTATACTAAACACCTGCTATCAAATTTACAAAAAAACTGTTCTCACAAATACAAAGGTGAAAAGAAAAAGTTTTGAGCTTTCAAACTATACTACACACATGGTACATGATGCAAAATGGAAATGCAGAAAATGTTTATCAAATGCATTATAAAGGCGTGGAAATAAAGTTTTGTAATGTATCCAATATAAACGTAGAGGTAATAAGTTACTCACGTGTTTCCAGTCTCGAGCTTCTCACGTTTGGTTGGAATGTTTGGGGTGAAAACTCTCCTAGGGTTTGATGTGCCTGGGTGCAAGAGAGATGCTGGTATACTGGCAGGAATTTTCATGCCTCGAGACAAATCTTGGGTACGATGAAAACTTGCAAGTCTAAGTGTTCCAAGACCAGGTTCAACCTGAAAAATGAGACATATTCAATTAAAATTTGAAGAATGGCTGAGAGTACATCAGAAGATCTTTGTAATCTGAAGAATATACACAGTATATAATGAACTCTCACTAAAATAATTATATTCCCTTATGTCCAGACAAATAATCTTCATCATCTAAATATGAGATACATAGTAACATGTGCCAGAAACAACATACCTTGGGTACTAATAAGGAGCTGGCACTGCTGCTTGCTGCTCCCCCTTTGGCTCCAGCCATTGAACAATGATTTTCTGACATATTTGTGTTTAGAGTCTTCAGTTAATTTTATGTTAATGACCTAAGAGTTAAGTAATTACACCTCAAAGAACTATGTCTTGAAGTCAAGGTGCCAACACATATTCTAGTCTGCAGAGCTAAAGGCTACACCTTTATCCACAATTTTTGAAAACTACTCTGAAATATTTTTTTTTTCAACCACAAATTTTAGATAATCTGTCATGTATCCAAATTTAACAACCACAGTTCTCTATACCTTGTCTTCAAAGTTATTGATATATTTAAAAACGTTTTGAATGTAACAATTTACATTTTCAAGTTTAGAGAAGCATTGACTAATGAAATTTTGTTGGGTATAAATACATGACACACATAACTAGGATCCAATATAAAATTTTGAGCAAGAAATTCCCTCAGCAAACAATCTCAAAGTTTAAACCAATCCTATAGTTTGGAAATAGATTGCTAGGGAGTAGGGTCCAATCTAAAATGACAAGGGTTCTGGCAATCATTGGTTTGTTAATGTTGTGCACCTCTGCATGATGAGGATGCTGGTGGGTTTCTCCAACACAATGCAAGCAATGGTCTTGAGAGGTTGCCTCAGGAGGGTTCCTCTGCCCTCCTGACTGAAGATGGCTACTGAGATGTCTTGATGTTGTGGTTGTTCATACAATTGCTCAAATGTAGTCCAAACGATGAAGAAGTCTACAAACTTATTTGGAGCAAAATTTACAGATTACATTGGCTTTTTGGAGAAATCCTGCTTTTTCAGCAAGGTCCATTGTCATGTACAGTCAGGAGCTTGACATTGTTGTCTAGGGTATCACCAACCCATTTGAATTCATCTACAATTTTGAAATTAAGTTGCTTGTTTGGAATACTCAATGTCATAGTTGGTCTAAATACTTCAGTGTAGTCCAAATGATGAGGAAGTCTACAACCTTCTTCAAAATTTACAGTCTACACCAGCCTCTTGGAGAACTCCCGCTTTTCTTAGGTCATTAATTGCACGAGTTTTAGCAAGAAAATTTGCTATCTCATACTAATATAAAAATATATCTATGTCCATATATATATCATTGCCTTCCCTATATAGATAGATTTTCATGGAAATTGTGAGATCAAAATTTAGCAAATATGGGAACTGAAAGAAACCATAAGGTGTGAGAAAGAGAAGCAAAACAATGAGCCATTCATAGGCAAGGCTCCCAAGTATGAAATGGGAGTCTGTTTGCTTCAATAATGGGTTGGCTTGGTAACATGCTGGACTAGGAAGGAACCTCTCACATACTCCATGAACAAAGATGCTGGGTGATTCACATCCCTTGGAGAGGATCCTTTTGTCCAGTCTAGTGATGGAAGATTAAAATCACCAACAATCAATGTGTGTAACCTATGGAAAGTCATGCTTGGTAAAAGACTTAAGTAATTTATTGTTGTCAAAAGAACTGTTTAGAGGTCTACCTATACACGATGTCTATAATGAGGCTATCTTTGCCTTTGAGAGAGAGTTTGCACCAAATTGTTTCTCTAGCTGATTGATGCTCTGCAGATAACTTGACTTGGTACAATTTTCCCCTGTGATTTTTAGGGAGTGTTTCTGTAATACCAATAATGTCTATGCATTTGTTTGCAAATTGCGATCACAGTTAACAGTTTTTTCTTTGTTCAAAACAGAATCCGAGTTTGTGTAAACAGATTTTAAAACTTTTTGTGCACTTTAATCTTTATGCATGCATTTACTTCTTACATTATTTACAGGCCTGGATCTATGGACATGACTTTACACTTGTCTTGCAGAGCTGATGACTGACTGTGTGTGGCCGGTGTTGTCTTCACATAATGAGAGTGGTTGACCTGAGTTTTCATGATTTTCTG